GCAGTTGGTAGAGGACTACGTCGTCGACTGCGACTGGGCACGCGATGAGGAGCTACGGATTGATTCATTTCAGATCCTATGCGAGTCATATGAGAATAAGCAAGGCTCACAGGTACTTTTCGAGCGAGAGAATGCATTGCAGCTTGTCTCTGGAACAAATTATTTTGTGGAGAAGACGAGGCTGTTTGACCATGTCGTGGGGTTTGCCAAGTTTTCAAAGTTTTTGATCGTTGCGGAGGTGCGTTCTTTTGTTTTGTTTGCGTGTGCTGGTTGATTTACTGGTTCTGTGTTTGTAGTACCTCCAGACGACGGGCATGCTTGACCTCCAGATTTCACTAAACAGACGGACATTTACTTCTGCGAGCTTCCCTCCCGGCATGCATATAGACTCTCACGTAGGCACAATCCCAACTCGAAAAATACTGGAATTGCTCATGATATTTCCTAGCCATTCACCATCCTCGATGTCAGCACCAACGTTATCTTCATACACATGACAATGAATGAGCGGCCCATGCCATGGGGCAACATCCTCAAATCCAACTCCAACGGAACTTACTTTGGGGCATCCATCGAGAATGTGAACAGGAAAAATCGCGACTTCATCGACTTTGAAAAATTCGCAGGTTTGAATGGCATTGCGATGGTCAACGTGGTGGCCAATCCTGCAGAGGCTGCACTCACGGGTCGTAAGACTCTGCAGACCAGGATCACACATAATGATGGTATACTTTGCGTACTGATTATCTTTTGCCACTTGTTGATGGTCGTTGCATCAGGTGGTACTTGGAAGGCGCTTCTAGCCCCTTCAGTAGATTCGCTGGGTCAGAAGTACCCTTGTTCATCATTGGTATGTAAGCATTTTTTGCCCACCATCTGGCTAATTTAGCTGTACTATCTAGGCCTGCGCGCTCCATGTGCGCGGATTCACGGAGTGCGTCGACGCCCGAGTGACATATAGTAGCCCTTCCGTCGTCAGTGTCGTGATGGCAGTCGGGAATGTTGGCGACGCGCTCGCCCCCTACACCGAGAGCAATACATTCCTATCCCGGGATGGTGGGTTCACATGGGAGGAAGTGCGCAGGGGCGCGCATCTGTGGAAGTTTGGCGACTCAGGCTCTGTCATCATGATCGTGAACGACCAGGAGCCGACGGATCACATCTTGTTTACGACGGACCAGGGGCTCAGATGGCTAGAGTGTTTGATAAGATATGGTCTATGCCCAGCATCCGGTCAGAGTTCAGGGTTGTCTGAGCGAAGTTCTAAACTTATTGAGGAGCTGACTGCATGGCTTTCATGATGGCAAGATGTTTGCGCTCATTTGTGAGAGCATATAACGACGCTCAAGGCATGCCGATTCCATCAGAAATGTGGTTGTGCGCACGCCATAAAGTGTATGCATTGGTTGTTTGTTGCAGCAGCCTGAGAAGTTCAACAGAAAAATGTCGTTGTTGCGGTCACCTGTGGTCATTCAAGTTCCCGCTGCACCAAGTACATTCAAAGTGGGCTGAAAAGCCAAGAGAACAGGGTTGGACGAAATTTGTAGTTCATTGTATACATTGTACAGTACAGCATGTGATCGCGACATCCACGACGAAATCGGTGAGAAACTAGTGCACCATAAAAACGATGCGTGTGAGGATGTGAAGCGTGAAAAAAAGCTGGAGGAAAACAAAGCACCGGGTAAGAACGAGCAAACGGGAGGGAAAATCGAGGCAATACGAAGATCAGGAGCTAACATGAGAGTTTCCGGCAAGATTGAATTGAGGGTGATGTTGGACGCAGGTGCACCAGGGTGTCACAACGGGCATCCTCGGTGAGAAGCTCTTCGATAGTCTGTTTTAACAGAGACTGGTGGTCCCGCATACACCTACATTCCCTCAAGCTTCACTTCCGAAAGTATCCGTCCCACTCACCGACATTGTCGAAGGTTGTAGGTAGTTCACAGAGTCTAACATCGGTGCTGACATAGACGGTTTGTGGTTCGTTGTTATGTTGGAGGCGGAATAAAAAAATCGTGATGCCGGGGCGCTATGGATGACCAGCTGTAGTCCAGTACGGTGAGTTCGAGATCAACTAGTAGCCAGAGTGCAGCTTGTGATGTACGTGTCAAACATATTGCTACAGGCGCTCTGCAGAAAAGAACAGAAGGTTAGCGAGTCGTAAGATTAGACAGATTGGACATGTACCACAAGTGCGGCTCCGACGATAACATTGGCGATTGTGATAGCTTCCCGCAACGCATTACTTGATGCACTTTATCCGTGCAATCCGCTTAGCATAGAAACTATTCGCCATCCAATCTTACCTGATTTCTAATACTCTAAGGTAAGGTGGATGGCCCATGCTAGGAGTGCGCGCCTGCCAAGTCTCACGGTGAGCGGCGCGCAGCTAGTACTAAGGCAGCCCCGCGGATGCATCAAGCGTTCAGAAGTCCGGTAAATAGGGGACCATAGCTAACGACTCAGATAGATAGAATTGATACCAAGAGTACGTACTTCGTCATTAACTTGCGTTGGCGGAGTGATGATGGCCGGAGACTCTGAGATAGGTGAGGTGGGTCGAGGCGCTGGTGCCGACTCAGATCTTAACACGACTGGAGTTTGTGGCACAGGTGTAGGCATGGTGACAGCTTTGGTGACAGGCGGAGGTGCACTGAATGCAGTGGGTGCGGGCACATGTGTCGGTGCAGGTGCAGGTGCAGGCGCTGAGGGTGTGGATGTCGATTATGCACCATTGAACACAGCACCATTTTCGAGACTAACGAGCTTCAATGCAGCAGTTTTTCCAGCAAAAAACTCGCTTGCTGAGAGAGAGAGCTCTGACGAGGCCACAGCTGGGTAAATGTCGGACTGGAATGAGTCCGCCTGGTGATGCCGTCAGTAAGGCTATTGTAAGCGTTTCAAGAGACATTTAATTTGCGAGGCACAATGAAAGCAATGGGTTCCACAGATGAACCTGATACTTTGTACGCACGGGCAATCTCGCAATCCGACACGTTAAGGGCACGACGAGGGAGGAAACAGACTCCCCGCTGGGGATCTGGGGATTTGTGCTCTGCTAGCGCGAACAGCGAGTCGCTTTCGTACTCGTAATACCGGATATTTCCATCGCTATTGGATTTAAGTTAACCAGGAAAAACAAACGCATCCGACTCTGCCTTACCTTTGCCAACTAGAAGAAATGATATGAGAAAAGACAAGTCCTAAGTACATGCAATGCGCTCATCCAGGAAAAGAATGCCATTGTCGCTCCAGAAAGGCATAATACACCAGCAGACTGATCAATAGTCATAATCTTGACATTTCCAAGACCTCCCGTTTCCCAGATGGAGACTTTACGGTCACTCATCTTGCTAAAGCCAGTTGTCACGATCTTGTCAAGATCGCCCATCCATATGACACGAGCGCCTTTGATACCACCATGCGCCTCAGTGATGCGAACGGTTTAACCTCCTGCACGAGGATCGAATAGACGAAGTTTTCTGTCTCTGCAGGTCGTGGCCATGAGCGTGCTGGTAGGATTGAAGGCGAGACACTGGATGGTATCGTTGCGTCCGGTGAGAACAGAGTATGGGCGATCGGTATCAGCAAGATCCCAAAGCTTAACCGTATGTTCGCTGGACGCACTGGCGAGGACGTTAGACGCGGTGGGGTGGAAGCGATCTTGCGTGGTGATGCATCGATACGGGCCACAGGGTCAAAGTCTTCCAGTACCCAATGATCCTGGCCCCAGCCTTCAAAGGCAGAAGACTCGACCTTCCAGATCATGACTTTGCCGTCTTCACCACCCGAGGCAACGATGGAGTCGTTATGTGGGGACCAATTAGTGTCGAGGACGGGGGCAGTGTGAATAAGCGCGAGGGGAATAACATCAGGAAGCTTGTACGGGAAGTTTGGGACAGCTGCAAAAGGGGAGGGAAGAGGAAGTATTGCGAATGCCCCACCTCCGGATGCATTCCAGTTAACGCTGATGTGCCGTTGGGGGGTATATCAGCAAAGGACGAACGTGAAGAGGGAAAGTGGTCACCCCAGAAGCAGAGACGAGATTCGTGTCCCATGCGCTGCTGGAGACCTTCACATTGTCATATCCATGTTCTTTCTTTGCTGTCAGTCCGAAGACATGACTGTCACGGTGGGAGCTCAGTACGACTCAGCATTGGGAATGAGGTGAACATACCGTGGGGAGTGGGGACAGAAACTTGAATGAAGAGACACGATGCCACGAGTCGGGCTCTCAATTGAAGCACAAAATGTTAGTCGCCCATGATGCATGAAAGTCGATGAAGACAGGTGGCATCATGTACCAAACAAAACGAAAAGGTGAAAGTACCGGCTTCCGAGACCAGTCTGAACTCGCACTGTCAGCTGGCTGGTGTCTGTTAGTACGATTTCATATCATCAGGATCCTAGAAATATTACAGCTGCCGTATTTACGTCTTGGTTAGGCTTTATTCTATACTATCCAACGCGGTTACTTACTTGAAGCTCCGACTTTTCTTTCCGCTATTGACTAGTACATAACATGGTCAAAAAACCTCAGCACACATATTAAAACTCTCATTTGGCCTCATCATGACTGGCATTCTAATTCCACAGCGCTCACGAACGAAGATGTCAGATCTCTTAGAGATCTTCCGCAGCTCGCATAGTTCACGCCCGCTTCCCGAAACTGATGCTCTTCCCGACACCCTATCTCAAGACAAGTACAAGTCCAAGCGCTCTGTGCTGCCCTTCCTCAGAAGGAAGAAGACTGACCGAGCATTTGTTTCGTCTTCAGCTCTGCCTGGAAGGCTCATCGATGCTCCCTCAGCATCTGTCGGCAAAGAGTGAGTTTTTCATCTAATTCAAATCTATTATTGCTTTTCACAAAAGGCTGATCGCATATTACTGTAGGCTCTTGGCTGCTGCTTCAAGTGCAGATGGATTTCCATCTGATGACCGGCTCCCTTCTACCCTTCCGAGTCCTCCTTTGAACGCGTCACCGCTGTCACTGGGCTCTAAATTTGCTGCCAATTTCTCTCCCTTGCGATCTCCTATCAAAACTCTGAAATTGCGATACTCTTCATCTTACAAGTCAACAAATACCCCTACCACTCGTTCATCCGTCACTCTCTCTCCCCCTGTGGCTGATTGCCATGGTGCTGCCCTGGAGTCCTGCCGCTCCAGCACTGTAAATAGCCGACCCACTACACCAAAATCGCTTCTTCAACCCTCTGCAGAGAACGCTCCTTACTATGAAATCATGGACGATTTTTCTGATTTGTTTTACACTTCCTAATAATCTTAACGCTCACCTCCAGTATGGGGGCATTGAAAGCTCCTACCTAGCCATATATAGCTGCATATTTTTCGCGTCTTTCCTTTCACAATTTATATCAAATTATCTATCTCGTCTTGTAGCCCTTGAAATTCTGCATTCCCCGTGTCAAAGTTTTTCAATCACACCCAAAGATGACCCCGCACCAAAAATCTCGCCGCCCGCATGTCTCGATCTCAAGTTATGGCTCGAACTTCATTCTCAGCGGGTTTCAGGGAGGAGGAGATGAAGATGAGCTCACATCTCCTTTTCAAATCACTTCCTGACCTCGATCTTCTACCATCCTACTCTACAGGCCTCTGCGACTTCCCCGCACCAAAAATATCGCCACCCGCACATCTTGTTCTCAAGTTATGGCCTAACTTCTTTCTGGGTGGCTTACAGGGAGCAGGATTGCGGGTGAGCTTGTAATTTTTTTCAATGGTCTTACTAACCTCGACCTCTCACGATGCTACTCTTCAGTACTCTACAATGACCCCATACCAAAAATCTCATCACCCATATCTCTCGTTCTCAAGCTATGGCCTTATATTTGTTCTGGGTGGCTTACAGGGCCGAGGATTAAAGGTGAGATCGTCACTTTTTTCGATAGATTCTCTGACCTCGATCATTCTATATCTTAATTGGTACTGGGAGGTCACGGAGAATCGCACTATTGTGGGTGATGTCTGCTATTTCAGTCTTAATAAAATGATGCTCACCGTACTCCAATTTGTAGAAACTTTCTCGCGAGCCGCAACTCATGGAGTAGGAGCGCGTCAAAACCAATGCGTCAAGGATACGCAGGATTATTTCCGAGAGGCGCAACCATGTTTACATTCCCCCGAGACCAAGTGCCTCGGTCCTACGGCAACTATTTGCGCTGTTTCCGCCTGCCATACTCTTCCCCAAATAGAACCTTACCAATATCCAGCATTCGCACTGTCTCCAAAGCCTGACACTTTCTTTGAACGGACTATCTGATATGGAAAACCAACCATCAGATATGCCACTCGAATTAAGTGCCCTCAAACGTCTCTCCGTAGCCTCTTGCAAAATTGCACCTCCTTCCTTCTCCAAATTGCCACCCCACAATTATCAACCATCGAGATCGGCACACCCCGCACAGCTGCTACCCCAGAAGAAATCACCGCGTTCATCGAATCCCTATCCACGTCTTGCCAAACATTTGGATCCCTGGAAAAGATCTCTGTGGTCGATTATTCGCCTGGCCAGTGGTGGGAACATGAGTCTCAAAGCGAACTCTATTCCCGTATTTTCCGGCCTTTGCTCCAGTTTCGAAGGCTATCGACTGTCGAGTTTGTTGACATTGGGAAATTCCGCCTTAACGACTCGTTTATCGAGGATGCTGTAGTTGCTTGACCGTATCTATCCATATGCGGACGGTGCAATAGCGCAAAGCGCCTCCGTCTCATTTTCAATTTTTTTCGTGCACTTCCTTCCATATTTTATACAGACACATCTATCTCATCTTGTAGCCCTCGAAATTCTGCACTCCCCGGACGAAAACCCGCATCAAAATAATCGAGTTTGTGTTGTATAGCACCTTGTGCCAAAAGTTCCCTTTTCCCACACCTTCTTGACTTCTTTCTGGCCTGCCCTCCATTCACCACGACCTCCGGGCACCTCGACACATTCTGGACTTGTCAAGTCGCACAAAAAGATGACCCCGCGCGAAAATCGCGCCGCCCGCATGTCTCCTTCCCAAGTTATGGTCCGAACTTTGAGCTTGGCTGCCTTACTGGGAGGAGAAGGCACAGGTAAGCTCATAACTTTTTTTCAACGCACTCTCTGACCTCAACTATCTATCATCCTAATATACAGTACCCTGCGATGTCCCCGCGCCAAAATCTCGCTGCCCGCGCGTTTTGTTCTCAACTTATGGGCCGACCTTTGTTCTTGTTGGCAAACCAGGAGGAGGGCAGGTGAGCTTGTATCTTTTTTTCATGTCCCTTTCTCGTGCTAATATGTTCAGATCTCACATTAGGTACTCTAATACACTCCCCGCACCACTCATCTCTCCGACCGCACGCCTCATCCATCTGTTATGGCCTGATCTTCATCCTGGGTCCGCTACAGGGAGGAGGTGACTTGGGTGACTTCATATCTTTTCCCCTGGCATCTAGCTGCTGCAAACTGACCATTTTTATACCTAGGGACTACCTACATGAAGAATTTCGGTCCCCTTCGATTGTCTACAGCCCCACGGTACTTGCTTTGCCCCCTCCGCCTCTTGACTCTCGCGCACCCGTGTGGACTCGCTCCCAATTGTTTCCGGCCCTCGTTCACGCCAATACATCGACCTCTCGCATTGGGGACTGCTTCTGCATGGGTCCGAAGGTGTTTTTCCAAGTAGGGTGGGTCTTTTGTTGTCATTTCGTCCTTCAGGTACTTAGGATCAGTGCATATGACTCGCATTCACCAACCCGTCGACGATTCCGCCCTTGCCTTCGACGATATCAAAGACGTATCACAAATTTTTATTTCCGACAAAGCGGGGAAGAATCACAATGTACGAGAATCGAACCGCATCACGCGCACGCATGATACGATCCAGTGCCTATCAGATCTTCCCTATATCGCTCTCCTTCTCGACGTCAATGTAGTCCTGGACCTGCAGCTTAACGTCACATTTCCGAAGACGCACCCAGCCAAGAGGGTGGAATTCTACTCGGGCGATTGAGCATATGTTGCAGATGGTCAGATGTGCGTACCTTGGCGAGAGCTTTTGGGGGGCTCTGAAGATTATCCTACTGTCAAATGAAGTTGTTCGAAATACTTGCGCGCCAGCAGGTAACGCCCTCAGTAGACTTAGAACCTTGAGTAGATAACAATCGATGAACTGAAGGAAATGATCAATGATAAATGTAAGGTCCATACTGCGGTCGCTGCGCTAGAACTTGCGTTTCTCCCCCATTCTCGTATAGAGTTCTTTGAAACCCGAAGTCGTAGACTCGTAAGAAAGTCTGACAGAGCGATGACCCGGCTAGTGAGTGTGGACATATCTACCATTCACGGTGTAGCCGGTTCTTCCATTAGGTCATATTAACGCCGGCGCTCTACCCCAGAGTACCCCAGGACACCCCCCCAAGTTCACACACACCCAGCAGACGTCTGTGGATTCGACGAACATCACGTGCATGTGACCAAATGTGACGCTGTGCGGACAAATATCTCAAAAATATGCCGAACTCATGCCGAAGCATGCTAAATAGACTGAAGAATTTGGTACCATGAAGTTAAAGTAGATTAAAAGCACGATGCAGCAACAAGTATTTAATAAATAGAGACTTTCGAGACACTTCTTACACGTATAATACGACTCGACTTCTCGGACATGTGATACTTTAGGGACTTTGAAGACACTTATAAGACATGCAATACGACCGACTACATACTTTGAAGACATTTATAAGACATGCACTACCACCGGACTTTTGGGACTCTGAAAACACTTAATGAGTTGAAGGGTTTCTCTCGAGCGTTTCTGCTTGCGTGTTCTGTTGCCCATGGGTCTTTTTAGTAGGCGGGAGGATGGCAGCGGCTTCGCGGCACATTGCGTCGGAGTATCACTCATCACGTTTGTCACGTGACGTTCGTCGAAACCACCAGACCGCTACTTTATGTGGAGTAGAACACAATATTTGCGATTCCCAGAACAATGCTGAAATGTATCTCAAAATCAGAGCGCTTAAGTGTACAATGGATTGATTTGATTCACTTATATAGTACAACTATTATAAAAAACTTGTGCGAACAAACAGTGTAACGTGGAGACTTGTGCAGTAATGAAAGTAGCCCGAGTCCAAGGAAACTAACAGGATTCAGGAGAAGTGACGATTTGACATGGTGCCTGTGATAAGTGAGTACGGAGTTAAAAAGGAAAAGAGTATGCGTACGACGTGTGTCGGCGACAGACAGTGGGGGCTCGCACATCGGGCGTGAAAGTTGTGTAGGAGCCTTGGAATCGGGCGGAGGAACTACGAAAATAGCGTCAGTAGGTTGAATGACGTACAGGATGTCATTGAAAGACCTATTTGCGTGAATGTAGGTACATTCAATTGGATAGAAGGCACGTTGAGCTGTATCGCCGGTGGACAAAGCCCCGAGACGGATATGTTGGATGTAGAGACGGTGCTGACTGTGCGCGAGGACAAGGATGAGCATGTGCCGGAGCTTGATTTGGTGGATTCAGAACTTGAGCTAGATGCGTTGGACCCAGGATTCGAAATTTCTGAACCTGAGACTGGGCGTTTAGTACATGAGAAACCGAATGAGGATAACCTGGAATGAAAGATGTTATTGAATAGTTTTACAGAGGTAAAAAGGAGGAGGACTCACCAGGCGCCAACCTCATATACACATCCCTGAGGAGCGCCAAATCGTTTGCATAGGCATGTTCAGAGGTAAGAAGCTCGAGCAGAGCATGTCGGCGTTTCGTGAATGCTGGTGCAGGTGTAGGGATGGAAGATAGCGGCTAGCCATACTTCAGAGACACTTAGACACTTCAGAGACACTTACTTCAGAAACACTTTAGAGACACTTCAAAGACACAATATGTATACTTCAAAGTTCAGAGACGACGCCATACTGTTGCTTACAAAATCGAACCACGTGACTGGTCAGTTGTCCTTCATACACTATTACCAGTAACTACCGCATCGGACTCGTCTCTTGGCTACTCACATTGCTCTTCGACATTGTCTCGTTCCTTCTCGTCTGAATCATCTTATATTGCTTCCCGCCGAAGTTCGGCGTGGACCAAAACTCACCCTCGCGCAGCACCTTCACAACCCACAACGACTTCGTCCCTCTCACCATCATCACCAATGCCCTCGCCCTCAAACGAGTAGATCTCAAGTAACGGGTCCATGCCCATAGCGACCCTCGAGCAGACGTATCTCCCGCCCTCACGAATCCTCTCGAGATCCCAAGATGCATGCATATATGGGGTTCGACGCCGTTCGGATGTGTAGGTGCGGCGCTATATTCCATAGGTAAGACAGAACTGGCCACTAGCGTCAGTATGTTGATCATTTGCGCATGTACTTTTCTTTTATGGGTCTAGGATTCGTGCTCGAAGCAAGGTGTCACGGTTAGACTGGATATCGACGAGGAGCGGGAACATCTTTCGATACTGGAGCAAAGCGTGCCACAGCGTTTTGAATGTAAACTCTGTAGAATCGCTTGTACTTGAATCTTACTATGCAACTTTAATATCTTCGGACGGTGAGGACTGAGCGAGCGGCACCCGCGGTATAGCTGGCCACCGAACACGAGCATCAAGCTATCATCCCAGGAGTGAGAAACTTGTTATTGTCATTGCGCGAAGGTACAGTGAGCAACAATCACGGAGCGAGTACTAGCTAGTCGTAAGTGACAAGAGTTTTGGACGTTTGTTCGGGAGCCTTTCTCCGCTGCGACGACTGCGTCTTCACACTGGTAGTAGATCTCGTAGTGGCAGAAGATGTAATGTCGACTCTGTGCGATGCTGAGCCACTCTGCGCTGGAGTGATCAACTAGTAAGGGGAGGGATTGACTTGAATGTTACTACTCACCTAACCTGACCAACCTAATGTCTAACCCTAAAGCACCGAGGCAAGTATGATGCAGTCCTAAGCATCTAACTAACCTAACCCTGAGACCGAGGCAGAATATGATGCAGTCCTAAGCATCTAACCACCCTAACAAAAGACCGAGGCCGAACAATAGCGGCCTACGCGTGCAGGACCCAGGATAAAATGTTTTGGGCACCAGTCGCGCAGTTTTGATGCGAGAGACGAAATAACTAGTGCGGGAGCGGGTTGTGAGTCTGTAGAATACAATGACGAAGGATCGAGGTCAGCCGGTGCGCTAGAAAAAAAAGATATGGGGGTTTACCTCCTCCTCCCCTTGTAAGTTACCCAGAGTGAAGTTTGGGGCCTAGCTCGAGCATTTTTGACTCGGGAGACAAGCGGAGTAGCGCGGGAGCGAGCTGTGTATCTGTAGAGTAGGATGATAAAATATTGAAGTCAGCCGTCATGATGGAAAAAAAGATATGGGTGGATTACCTCCCTCCTCCCCCCTAAGTCACTCAGACAGAAGTTCTCGGGCATAAGTCGAGCAGTTTTGACCCGGGAGACGAAAAAAGTGGAGCGGGAGCGAGCTATAGACCTATAGAGTAGAATGACAAAAGGTCGAGGTCAGAAAGGGCGATGGAAAAAAGTTATGGGTGTATAACCTCCTCCTCCCCCCTCTAAGCCACCTAAAGCGATGTTTTGGGGCATAAGTCGGGCAGTTTTGACGCGGGAGGCGAGAAAAGTGGAGCGGGAGCGAGCTATAGACCTATAGAGTAGAATGACAAAAGGTCGAGGTCAGAAAGGGCGATGGAAAAAAGTTATGGGTGTATAACCTCCTCCTCTCCCTCTAAGACCGAGTAAACCAGAGTTGAGGGTATAACTCGGGAAGTACTGTTCCGTTTGACGAAATTCTTGGCGCGGGAGCATCGTGGACTGCGAATTTCGCAGCCCAGGAAGTGTCGAGTCGGCCGGGGATCGTGGTGAGGAAAGAAAAATGGAAGAAGGTGGTCAAGTGGGTGTGAGAAATTAAGAAAAACACGGTACCCTAAGTCAACAATTACTCAACCTTTACACAACATTAAGGAACCGGGATTTCTCGCGGGAGGATCAGTTTTTCAGGGGCTACAAGATGAGATAAAGATGTCTGAATGAAATGTGGAAGGAAGGGGATGAAACAAATGTAAAACGGTGAAGTGGCTCAATGGTCCATTGAGCCGTCCGCATATAGATAGAACCTTTGCTGGACGTGTCAAAATTCTGGTCAGCTTCCGCCACAAAGGAAGATTATCCAATCACTGTGCTTTCATGACCACTTTGATGTGGTGGATGGATAGATGATCCCCGCTGTCGCGGTAAAACAGCCATTAGTGTGCGCCCGATAACATGTGCAGAGAACTTACTTCGAGGCAGCTAGTGCTCATGCGGACCGCACAATATTGTCAATCATCCTCCCTAAAAGCGTCATCAGACACCGCGTCGGTGACAGACATGAGGCTTACCATCTAACTGATGCCGTGAGAGTTTCTCGATATCGCGAAGAAGTAATGAATGATCCATCTCCTTCTGATCCGCGATAGAGGAGCCTATGAGTGTGTGCTCGTTGTTCCACATAATTGCAGCGGGATTATTCAAGCCGAAGTGGTTGAGCCAAAGACGACGTCGAGCTGCAGCGTCCAGTTCAGGGAAATTGACAACTTCAATGGACAACATTCAGAAGCGGAAGCGGGTCAGACAATCGGGTCACGTACCAGCCGAAAATCGTGTCAGGAGTTCTTCGTTGCAGGTACTTGATACCCAGAAGGAGATGGAATCATCCGACTCAAATTGACGGAGAATAGTGTTGACGTGATCCTGACGAGAAATCAAGACTCGAATAGCAAGGGTCTACTGGCCAAAACATACCCTATGTCTTAAACCTTGCGACTCCAAGAAATGCTGGGTGACGTGATAAATCACAGTGCGAGGTGTTGAAGAGAGTACGTACATCGGCGTCTTTCACCACAATCACCGCATTCCAAGTAGCTGCAAACTAAACGATAACCAGGTCTCGTCAAAGAATCATTGACAGCTGTCAATTGTACGAACCGACACGCGCAGAGCAATATCTGACACTAGATTTGTAATGTTGTATAATGAGTCAGCAGTGATAGTGATAGTAAGCAGAGGAGATTGCAGACAGCATGAACAGTTGTCATTCTGCCAGTTCCTGGTGGTCCCTTAAGAAGTACTGTCTACGAAATGTTAAACGTGAGACATAAACGGTGGCAATTCAAACACACCTGTCCTTTGTTGAACTGTGCTGGTTCTACAGAGCAGCCAGAATTATCCACTAGTGCTCTTATAAGATCCTGCAACAGAAGATAAACGAAGCCAAGAAACCAACATGATTGCGCGCACCTTGGTATCTTCGTCCATGATCAACTTGCTCCATGCCCCTTGATCATATTCAATTGGCTTCAAATCCCAGACATTGAATGTTCGCCATTGCTAGTCATCATAATTAACTTCGGCAACCAGCGAAATGTGTGTTACAAATTGCTCACATTCACTTCAAGATCATATCCACCAATCCAGTATGGAAGGCACGCAATATGCTCCCTCGCATTGTCGGGAAGTGGAACACGTCTATGATACCCTTAGCGTCAACAAGGAGAACAGGTAAATTACTCACATATGTGGGTTGTAGCCTTGCAAGGCATGGTGGTATCCAACTGAGTCGATCATCACCCGCCTCATCCGTGGTTTCGAGTTACCACTGAAAACCGACCGTATTGGTGTGTCGTCATAATCTGTAAATGGGGAAAGTATGAGAACAGCGTGATGAGAAATTGGAGTGATGCGGCACTTACATTCTGCGCAACAAACTTTGCTGTAAGAAAGATAGAGTTTTCCGCACTCTATATTGATGATTCGACATCTTAACGACAAACTGAGAAGTAAAGTTCTCACCAGTCACTTTGGCAAGGGCTTCGTCTGTGACAGGTTGGAGAAACAGGGACGAGATGGCTTGAGTTCCCTAAAATTGAGTTCCCTAAAATTGGTGAGTGAACAAATGGTTATTTGATAGAGGAGAATTGTCATAGTACCTCGAATGCAAAAAGGTCAAATGCAAAAAGGTCAAATGCCATGGTGTGCTTCTCGAAACGAACGCCATCCCACTCAGGATGCTCCGACTCGACGACCAACGCCCTGAACAGATCTAGTCAGGATTTACCACAGCCATGTTCTGAAGGGTCTAACTCACTTTCTATCATCGAGGAAGCGAGCACTCTTCAAAACTACCAAGATCTTTCACGCAGCATGTCAGTGGTGACGATGAATGAGCGAAGGAAATAGTTCCCACAATAGGCCTCTCGACATCTAAACCATTCTGTAAAAGCCCAGAATTATAGATGTAACGCTTTCCTTCCTCATAGTAATACTCGAGAAGGTCGAAGGAAATCTGATTGTTAGACAACAATTCTTTGAGTTGCTTGACCCTGCATGGTCATAAAGACAAGGAACAAGTGAGATTGACTGGAACACACGCACGGCTGCTTGCTTTCCGCTTCCACGACCTCCAACAGTTTCCCTAAATGTATCACAAGAACATCAACGAACTCAGTGGCCACTTCGCCTGACCATATTGATCAGAGTTATTCGACTCGAGGAGCAATGCAAAACTAACGTCCAGTAGACGCATTGAAGCCTTGGCTGCTAGGTCTTCTGGAAGTTGTTCTGCACCCAAGAGGGTGCGTGCATCGTCCAATCTGGACCGAAGTATCTTCGCCTTTTGGGACAGTCGATAAATAGGGTACTCAAGAGGTTTGTCGTAGTCGGCGTCGACAAATACAGTACTGAGAATCAGGTACCGATGTTATCAACACGCATGATTCAATTACAAGACAACATACTGAAGAAAAGAATCTAAAATCGAACTGAAGTCGCTAAAAACAAGTGACTTCCTCCCTGAGCTTGTTCAGTATACATGCTATGCAATGTATTTTTGATATAGCGAAACCATGCCTCCCTGGTTCATGGAGCGAACGTTGAGATAGAAATAGAAATAGTCATTGATTCTTGGAATGCCTCTAGGCGAAGGCGACTTATACCAATCCGGTACCCACCGCTTGATGTACTCATCCCTTGTGCACCGTAACACATTGAATAAGCCAGCACCCAACATAAGCGAAAAACTCACCATTTTTGCCACCAACGAACAAAATGGTCCTCTCCTTCCTCATAATGCTTGTGTGAAATCAATTGAGGTTGGTAAACTGGCGACTGTAATTCGGGAAGTAGGTCGCCCCATGGATTTTGCATAGGCCTTGGGATGAAAGGGGGGTTGGGGGTTGACGGTTGGTGATATAGTGGGGCGATGTGCCTAATTCCTGGATACACACAGCCAGGAGGTACAAATTCTACGTGGTCGACCTCTGCAAACCTACACAGCAAAAGTACGTGACAGCCATATCTGTCATCCTTGGGCGCAACGTTGATGCTGTTGTCGTCGTCGAAGAAAAGACTGCTGGACCTGTATACACTGTGGCCGAAACACGAGTTCATGACAATCATACAATGTATACAAAGTTAGAAGTCATACTCTGTTATGGCGATGTAATGAGACTAGAAATGAAGAACAAAGTTGGACCAAGCTATTGTATCGCATATGCCAGGAGGCAGCGGTTGTGAGCTCAGTATCATTAGTACCAGTAGTGTAACAAGTGCAGGAATGTATATGAGCATGCTGGCAAGTCCACCCATCACCCAAATGATAGTAAAGCATTTTGCGAAGAGACAGAAAGTAAAGAAATGTGGGAGATGGGGGTGTTGCATAGACGAGGTTAGAATGACGGTGATGGCGAGTCTGCAGTGTCCTTCGAAGCTGCAGGTTGTGTCTTCAATAGATCAAGTTCAGCTTGCATCTAAAGCTCAGCACAAGCACTACCATCAATCAAAGAAAGACTGTTGCTGCTGAAAATGCGTACCTTCGCAATTAGGCGGTCGCGTTCATTGATTTGGTGGTCGCGTTCGTTGATTTGGCGGTCGCGTTCATTGATTTCATGTTGCCGGTCTGCGCGGCCTCGTTCCAGAAGCTGGAGGGACAAGAACTATCAATCAAGGAAAGGCTGTGGCTGCTAAAATGCGTACCTTTCATCAGTAAGAATCGATAAGTAAATATCACGACTAATTCTGGGAAGACCTCACCTGCTGTGTTCTAGCTTCTTCTGTTTGCCTCTTCTGTTCTGCTTCGTGTTCCATGCGCGTCCACTGGGAGTGATACTCCTCGCATATCACCTCCACACTGTCTGCCTTCTCTATGTTGAACACGAGATAACGAGAGCGCCCCTTGTGCCGCATTGTCTCACGACAATCTGGGAAGAGCTGTTTGAGGGCCTCCCATACCGTGTGAGCATACCAGTAGCATTGGTACTGGTACAAATCGTAGATCGGAGCATGCTCACTGACGGCTGACAGGAGAATGGATACATGTATTGCTGAGGGGCGTGCAGAGCCGGTGAATTCAAGGTCACAGAGTTCCTTATACCGGCCATGTATGGTAGATAAGTGGTGTTGGATGGCAGAACCTTTGTTTGGGGTAGTGAAGATGGAATCACGGGCGGCGGTTTGAGAAACAGATGGAGAGGCTATGGCTGATGACTGCATAAACTGCCTTGACGAGCCATTGGTATTCTGTGTAGGATCCGTACGTGGCGTGCGGTCTAACACTAAGATGGTGATGGCGTGCGGTTGCGTGGGACTCCAATGACGAAAATGGAGGGTTAAAAATTCGTGTTCTTTGCCAGAGTCGCATTTGCAGTAGACCATGCGTTCAAGCAGGCACTGCAAAGAAATATGGCTGCTCAAGAGGATCGTCCTCCATTCTGCTATATCGTAGTGACTATCACCTGAGGTGAATAAGCCAGGAACATCATGAGGAAACTCCATGAAAGGACGGGAAATCCTTGCAAGGAAACCACGTATGAAATTGAAACGATTCGTTCCATACTTCAAGGCCATCCCAAGTTGTTAAGCATGTCAAGGGTTAGAACACGATGCACAGGAAGATCAGTCAACAGTGGCTCAACTGATGGGGGCGCCGAGTCCAGGCAAATCTGGGCCTATCTGGACCCAACAAGTTCATGAACCAGCCAGGTGCATAGTACTAGATGTCATGTGATGGTTGGCTCACAGTACGCTTATATAATGAGTGTCAAACAGCCAGCTCTTCTACAATTTCACCTTGCCCATGGTTTGTTACTTTTGCGAAGTTGCGCGTTGAACACCACTTCGTCTTCCCTGCTTAAATGCAGACGCCACTACCTTTGGCATTATTCATATTCATCCAAGTTGCATCTCGCACTGCCTTCGACCCCCAGCAGCGCGTGGCCTCAAGCCCGAAAGCCCCAGGCATGCCAAATCCATTGGCAATGAATGGGGAGGACAGGGGGTGCAATGGTGAGCACGGATCTTTTTTGTATAGCTCAAAGTCCCCCCGCATTGTGCGCCTCTGTCACCCACCAAGCTTGGCATAGCCTGTCCCTGCCCCAGGCTGAGTGAGCGTAGGTCGAGCCCCTCGTCGAGGGACGAGCCACTCTGGTTTATTGATGCCCCTTTATTTTCAGGTGCTCCAATACATCGACGGTTGCTCAATGCTGTGGTTGGGGAGCCCCGCACCTCCTCTGCAATGTGCGAGGGGCGGGCCCTAGCGACCTCTTCATCAACGGTGTTTGCCATAGCAGCAATGATTATTTAGGCATGAGTTTTGCCAGGCTCGTCTGCACGCATTGAATCTCAGCCCTTCTTTGGCTTTCCCCATGGGCACGCATCAGATGCCCCGACGCCCCAACCCAGTGGACTTTCCGGAAAGGCCTTGGACCTGGAGGGCGCTATAGTGGCGCGTGATGAACCTCCTTGGGAGGAGGAGCACAATCGTGATCCAGGTGTAGAGGATTCCCAGCTTTGTGCCAGGCAATGTACAGCCTTCTGCCGCTCTGGGCCACGCTAATATGGTGTGATTTACTCACTATGGGGTCCTTTTGCCTTTGCTCATTGCCCCTCACGTGGAGCGGAAGGGTGAGTTCTATCTAGCCACCTTACTAAAGTGGTCTATGCTATCTCCATCATGAAGGTGCCCCGCCAGCATCGAGGCATTGCCATTGCAGAGTGCAATCATTACAACACTTGGTCACAGGGCATTTAGTGCCACCAGCCTTCCTTGGTGGAATGACATGTCACTCTGATCTCGATGACATATTCTAATCCAGGAATCAATGTCTCCCTTGCCTTTTGCATGGGCACTGATGTCGGCAGCGTCTTAAGTAGCCCTGTCGGCCAGCCTATGGCGCAGATCTTATACAATTCGCTCAGACAGAGAAAGGCTCTGGTTCTATGGTGTCTCATTATTTTAGCGGAGTATGTTTCAGTGCTGTGTGACATACCCACATCCTAATCATAGAGCAGGTACATGGTGGCATCGAACTGCCTCCTGGTCGGCTCTCGCCAAACGTTTGCATTTGCTCGTGATGGGGCTCTCCCTTTTTCACGGTATTTGTACCGGATCAATCACTACACAAAAACACCCGTCAATACAGTTTGGTTCGACACCATCTGTGTTCTGGCAATTGGACTTTTGTCGTTCGTGAGCACCGAAGCCATCGATGCAGTATTCACAATCGCTGTCACCGCATCGTACGTCGCTTACATAACGCCGATCACAACCCGCTTTGCGTTCAAGAATAATTTTAAACCCGGCCCATTTCATCTCGGGAAATTGGTAGGTTAATCGGCAGTGATGTATTATTAAACTAATGTATTTGCAGAGCTTTCCAGTCACTGCGATCGCTGTAGTGTGGATGGTCTTCATGATCATTGTTTTCTTCTTTCCTGCGAGCCCGCAAACGACAACACAGCAAATGAACTATACAGTTGTGGTACTTGGAGGGGTCATATTTCTGTCGATTTCCTGGTATAATTGTCCGGTGTACAGAGGTGTGCATTGGTTCACTGGACTCATATCCAACTTTACACCAGCCATCAGAGGTGAAAACAAAGACGAGGATTCGATGTCGGAGAAGAAGGGACAACATAATGAAGATCTCTTTGTTTCAGCGGTGGATGTATAAGTAGTATTCATTGTACCGTCCTGAAATCGTCGGTATGCCAAAATGGTACATATGTAATTCAACGAAGCACTTTAATTATGTGTAAATACATAGTTGGAACCCCCTGAAGCTGCGTTATCGGAAAGTCGGGTCAAATGTTCAGCCATATCATATGTATCACCTGAGGCTTTGCTGCAGTCGCGTCGTTCGTGATCTTGTGAAAGGACCTGATGATGATCATTACGCTATACTCAGTATTCATTGTCAGTTGCTATACATCCGTACGTACATGAAGCTCAGGCCCTACGAAAAAAGCTCCTGCTGTGCTCACACAAACAAATCTGTCCGCCCCAACGTCTCCGATATAACCCCCACCACCTTGGCTTCAAACTCAAACACATCCACACCACAGTATGCCAGAACGTCAAGAGTGCGGGAATAAGTCTTACCAAGTCGTTTCGGATGGCATTGTTAGGTTGGGTGAGTGTATGTGCGATAGGAGAATAATAGATACACGTACACAACGAGAATCATCTCCTGCTTAAGCTTCCCGTTCTCGTCATACTTGGGACACACCTCCCAGTAGAAGTGAAGCAACTTTTTGAGTTGCTTGTTTCTGGAGGGCATGATTGTATGATTGGCATCAAGAGCGTAGGCTAGGCCATCATCGTTGCATCAGCATCATGCGGTCTATAGGAAAGATCAAGGAGCATACCTGAGGGTTCCCATTGATCGTCGACACAATAATCCTGCGTAACGTGTCCAGTCTGTCTTCATCAGTTCCTTTCTCAAGAGACGCCCTAAGCTCCTGCGTGGATGGGCTCTCTGCAGTATCTTCAAATACAACTGTATAGCACGGTGCCTCTGCATGCTTCACGCTCGCACCACGGAATGACAGCTATGCACTTGCTGTCTAGTGTGGGGACAAAGTCTTCCCATCGTGTAACTTCTTTTACATGCGCATTGTACTCAGCGAGAGCACGCTCTGGATAGTTTCGAGCGTCTTCGGGATTGTGGTGGCAAGGTCAGCGAGAGCAACGGGGATCTTTGCACCGGTATCACGGCGCACGGACAGCGTCTGCTGCTTCGCAAGGTCATTCGGCCCTATCTCCAAACGAAGGGGGACGCCCTATTCATGGAACAGACAATATATCAGAGGCGAGCAACGGCAGCCAATGGTAGAGAACATGCCTTTTGTTCCCAGTCGTTGAATTTGTATCCGGGGGCGTAACCCTCCCTAAGATCTGCTCTCGCCCGGACACCCCCATCTATCAGAGATTTTGCGAGATCATCGCAGGGATTGTTAATCTTAGCTCTGTCTTCATCGCTCGTCTTTGCTGGACACCACACAGAACTACGACAGCCTGGATAGATGCAACTCGCGGAGGAAGGACCAAGCCTTGGTTATCACCATGCACCATAGTCATCACACCAATTGTCCAGGTCGACAATCCCCACGAGTTTTACCATGCAAAGGTCTTGCCTTGGCCAGAAGGATCATTCGAGTCCTCGACCATGATGTTAAACATTTCCGGGCGTGAAAAGTTCTGGCCCAAGCAGTGCGAGGTAGCAGCCTGAATACCACGGCCCGAGGGAGGAACAAAGCCTTCAATCGTGGTAGTATAGAGGGCACCAGCGAACTTCTCCTTCTTGGATTTGATACCAGGAATGACAGGAACAGCAAGGAGTTCCTCATACACGCGGCAGTACAAGTCGAGGATCTCCCGAACTTCCTTATCAGCCTCGGCCTTGGTAAGGTGAGCAGTATGGCCCTCTTGCCACAGGAACTGCCGAGTACGGAGGAACGGTTCTGAATAAAATGATAAACAATCAACGGACAGTGGTAGAGCACAGGGACTAACGCGGATGTTTAAACTCCCATTGGACGACGTTGTTCCATTGGTTCAATTTCAGTGGCAAATCTCGATGACTCTTGATCCATTTGGCATAGTCTGCGAGCAATGAATAAGTAGCCCTCTCTATGATGATGGAAATTGCCTTACAAGGATACATGACAGTCTCAGATGTCGGACGAATGGCTACCGGCTCCTCAAGGTCAGAGCTCCCACTGTCACATCATTAAATTATTAGAGTTCATTCGCTCCTTTATGCACTCACGCTCTTGTAACCCATGCAACTTCCGGAGAGAAACCCTCAATGTGGTCCTTCTCGCGTTCGAGCACCTTTTGTGACACAAGCATAGGGAAGTATACATTCTGAACGCTCATTGCCTTGTTGAACCAGTCTATAACACGCCTTAGTATTCGGAATCAGTCGAGAACTAGATCTCATACCTTGGATCTCCTCCCAGATAATGTACGACCACGGCCTCAAGATATAGCACCCACTAACACTGTAGTACTCGAGCATTTCTGCTTTTATTAAGACCTAAAACACACAAATAAGTCCTAGATCGGGGCAATCAGACAAAGGAACCCACGCTCTGATACCACGCAGAGAAATCGACTTCCTTCTTGACACCGATGGCGATCTGAACGGCGCCATCGATTTTCGCGACCTCTTTCTCTTTTGCAACAGGTTTTGAAGGAGCCGCAACCGACATCAGACTTGAGGGAAGTAAAGTCGATTTCTTGGACTTTCAAGTCCTCAGTCCCAAGTTTTCGGAGGTAAGACAGGATATCCTGTCCAGAAAGAAAGACGGTTGCACTGGAGGATAGTGCGTGTAACGCAAATGTTGATGAGGAGGACGTGATCGATGCATCAATCACGGTAACAACTTTTGGGAACGTCTCGCTAGTCAATGAAAGTAGCGACACTAATCGTCCATGTAAATCAGATTAGTTACACCACGTCATAAGAAATAACATACAAGAGTCCTTATCGAGCGCGAAAAATTCAGCAAGCAGATCCTCAGATGCCAACCTCAGCTCCTTCAGGTTGAGCTTCTTACCGAGCGCTGATGAGCTCGTCTCGGTCTCTTCACGGGCAATCACGACAACAGGGACCGGAATCGCAGTTTTTGCAGTCTTCGGCTTGTCGACGAGCGTTTTGATCAGCTAGGATGATTTAGGCGCAGATGAGGTCGCAAGTAGCGTTTCTCGCCAAGATGCTGGGGAATTTGTTTCAGCATGCGTGACGCTGGCTGATGGGGTGATTGACAGCCCAGCAAGGGACTGGGCTACAGATTCTAGAGAGTTCATAGTTGTAGATGTGGTATATCGAGAAATGGCGGTTAAGGGCCTTTTGACCAAAACGCGATTTCGGTATGATTCGATAAAATTGGGCCCATACGTTATCCGAGTCAGATGCAAGTCACCCTGGACAACTTTTATTCCACAGGAAAGTCCATGAATTCGCCGCACAGCGTGCAAGAGAGCTTGCATGCGACAAGCAGAAAAAATCGCAAGAAATGCGCCATAATCGCCTCTTCAACACTCTCAAGCGACTACGTAACTTACGCGTCGGTACTTCAAAGTCTTCGACAACCTTCGACAACTCATAAACCTAACAAACTCTGATGGTAGTCGAACTAGGACCCAATCCTTATATGCCAGCTCATAGGATGACTTCGTAGAGGTACCTGTTAACTCCAGAATAGAAAGCTACGCTACCGCGCTTGGCCCGTTGGATTCGGGAGTCCACTCAGAGCGGATACCCAGTCACTGTGCCGGAAGGGAGGATCATAGGTCCTACGACTTCGTCGCGTTTTTCCTTCCCGCACAAGAGCTTGATCAGCGTGAATACGAAAGGAAATGCAGTTCCTAGATGGCGGGTCTTATTCGACTGTCTTTTAGCTGTAGCCATCCAAATGAATAATATGCTTGCCATTTTCTTTGTACTAGTGCACTTGGCACTACGGCAATCAGGAATAAATGCACCGAGTTTTACCCGGGTCCGTCTCCTCTCTATTAGAGATTGAGTGAATGAAAAACGAGAACCACCCTTGCTGGAAATGAGCAATTTAAACGTGAACGATGTACCACAAGGAGAGCTACTGTTATTCGAAGTAGATCATAGAGCTGAAAGGGAACCCGTTTAGGCCAGTTTACTCAGTGACCACTTTCAGGTTGGAACCGCGGGGGTTATACGATACAGTCTGTGGTACCTATGTCGCCAGTCAAGTATGAGCAACAGTGGTACTCAATGTACTCGCTATGCACTTACTTCGGGACACACTCGAAGAATGCATCGATGTTCCACTTCAGGAGTATGACAATCGTCGAAGGTTTGAGGAAGTTGAAGAAACTGGTCTGGTAAAGGCCGAAAGAGTGGTAGATCGGAAGAACATTGAAGGATACTTGAAGCCCATCTGGGGTGTCCCATATCGGTGGCTAGTGAAAGGTTCGGCGAGAGCAAGTAAATAGTGTCGCATAGATGTACTGCTAGAATTTTACCTATTTCCATAGTCTGTATCATCACTCCGAGGGTAGCAGAGGTGATATTTCCGTGCGATATCATGATGGCTGTACAATGAGGTCAGGGTGACAATGTTGCAGAGACGGTGCGTCCGCAATTCTGCAATATCAGAAGTGAATGCCAGAAAAGAAATACATGCCTTTGGGAAGGCCACTTGTCCCACTGGAATAGACCAGGTAGGCCGGAGTGCCCTTAGTAGCATGGCGGACTGGCAGCCGTGGAATGTCGTTCCTGTGAATGGAAGAGACAAGCTGATCGTAGCTTGTGTAGCCTTCTTTCTCTCCGTCCAAAAGATGAACTCGATCTGCTGGGAGGTCCAAAGTTGAAGCGAGTGGCAATAATGCTAGACTGGTGAAAACCCTGGTCGCCTGAGCGAGCGACTTGGCGTGCTAACATGCAAAATAAAGAGAATCGGAGTGGGTCACTCGCCATATGCAGTCATTCCAGCACCCGCGAAAGCCAAATATCGAGAAATGATGAAAATGATACAAGTTACGTCCCATGATTTGGACCAGGTCCATTGCACCTGTGGGGAGTGATCAGAACAACACTCGCGAACAGACAGATATTTCCCCGACCTCTTCGGAAAAAGTGATGCAGTAATCAAATGCCTGAGACATTGAAAGAGATTTGAGCTAGAAATACAAGAAATACGTTTGATACTCATGAGTATCGCACTACAGAGACAACAGTCAATGCCACCTTTCAGTTTTTGGACGATCCACGGACACTCACAATTGACGTACATAATGTTAACCTCGAGTTTATTAGAGGCAAGCCGCCCTGATACTATACTTATCTACAACTCGAAGGCCAGCCTGGTATGCACTGAAGCTACTGCATATATAGTATGTGATACAGCTTGACACAACAGCCCACTCTTTCTTCATGCCACATTGATCCTCGAGGTCCTTCCGTAATTTATTCTGCAACTTACTGTCCTCCGGATCAGGCCACATTAATAGTCACATGAATGTACTGACTGTCCCCCCCTGCTACCATCCCGCAAACACTGGCGTAACACGCACAGCTTCCCTCGATTTCCTGTACTTCTCGTCTTCAGCCTTCAGGGTCGTTGCGCATGCATGTCCCTCCACAATGATCTGGGATGCCTCTAACGATGTACGGTTCCCCGCCCACCATTCTTCTATGACGGCCTCTTCCTCAAGACATGTCACTACCATGACTATGGGGGCTCGCCGCTGATATAACACCTCGCGGAATAACTGGTAGTTGCTCTGCAATGCGCCAGTGTCCCGGCATTTTTGAATGCAATATACCAACAAACTAGTGCCGCCGTATTCATCAAGCTTACGGAGGAGGCGGCTGGCATTCTTGATGGATCGGTAGTATTCATCTGGCTCAATTTCTGGGTTATCGATCCTCACCGTGTCGAAGATATTGCATTGCATCTCATCATCAAAGAGCTTGGGTAACTCATATTTGGTCCATGTAAGGGTGCAGCGTTTGAGCTTGGAGCCAGTTTTAGTGATGTTTTGGTCTGCGATGAGGTTTATGAGGGAACTCTTTCCGGCGCCCATTGCCCTGAATATAACAATGTTTTTAGCACGAATGTCGCTTTTGTTCTTCCCCATCGTGATGTGTGAAATGGTATCTATTGGAGTCAAGCATCTATGGTCCCATAGATGTTCCTTGAGGGAACACCTTAATTTGGTTAGTAAAGGGAACAGAGGAACATGAAGACCAATATTCTGTGGGAAAAGAGGGAACACCATGTCTTTATTTGGTTAGGCAAGGCATGAGGGAACACAGGGTTAGTGGGAACAGAGGAACATTATGTGTCATACTGTGTGGGAAAGAGGGAACACAGGAACATTATGTGTCCCAATCTGTGGGAAAGTGGGAACACAGGAACATTAGCCCCACTCAATTCTTATTTTATTCTGCCATTTTATTTTGTGGCTTGTAATATAAATCTTGATCACATGGGAAATAAAATAATGTAGAATTGAGTGCCTCAGTTTATTCTTCCAGTTTATTTGACACAGGCATCGCTGAGCTTGTAATATGCCGAGTGGCTTGAAGTACCAAAACATTTTGTGTAAGTCAGTTGATCTCACTGGCAGCGTGAATGAGTGTGCACAATGGACACACCAAACTGGATTTTTCCTGACCACAACACCTACAACCACTGCGTCACTCCTAATGATGCGGAAGAATGGCAAGCTAGTCAAACACCTCAAAAATCTTGCCTGCGCGATACCATGCAGCCTGCGCCATCTCTGCCATTTGAGTATGGTATGCCACAACTGCAGTTTGGAAATCTGGCAGCGCACAACACATCCCAGATGCATCCGCAGTATGTGACGATGACGTCCAGTGCCAGATATGCCCACGGTGTTGGTAAGTTGAACCTCCGACGTGGTGTTATTTTTGGATACTTGAGCGCAGTTTATTCCAGTTTATTTCTCGGACTCTGTACAAGTGACAGTTTGGTGATGGCTCATAAATTGGAGAAATAAAATGGCAGAATAAAATAAGAATTGAGTGGGGCTATTGTCTGTGAGAAAGAGGGAACACATGGTCAGAGTCAACAGGGGGACATCATGTCTCATAATTTGTGGCAGGGGTGGAACACATTCTTTCTGTGGCCCTTAATTCACTGACCTTATTTACTCACCCCAGATTTCTCCTCCCTCATCTCTCTTGGCTCTATTCTCCCCATCTGACTCCATCCCCAGCCCTCAATAAGCTAGTATTTTATGTATATATTTCTATCAAAACATGATCTAATGATATTTTCACCCAGAACATAATGTTCCTGAGGCCCTGCAGGAAGTGTGCTGATACAGCATGAAAGAAGGAGGTGCTCACCACACCCATGAACACATTCTGTAAATTGTATAATTTGTCTGATAAACTGACCAATCTACTACTGCAGGCAGAAGTTGGCAAATGTCAATGCAAATCTTATTTGTACTGCAAGCAAATGATCAGGAAGGGCAGGGGGCATACCATCAGCAAGGCGTGAAAAAGGCTATTAACTGTATGCTTCATAGATCACTATCTATAGACTGTCATCCACAATGAAGGATGTTTGGCACCCAAACTTGATAGAACCACACTTTAATTGCAGAGTGTCCTAGTCCAATGCATTACAAACAGGATAACAAGCATTGTTAATATAACATGGCCATGTGGTGAGTATCAGACTTAATACATCATCCTTACAGGATCTTGCACTAGTACTTCCCTTTGGTGTGTTCCATTACAGCGACCCCCACCATGTCAAGTCTGATCCGCCCTCTGTACTCTATACGATGATAGGTTCTCCCCAACATCTTTGCAGCCTCCGTATTAATGTAAACCTCCACACTTACCTATGGTGCATGATAGCCCACTTGCCATGCCATGTCAAACCTCATCTATGCTGCATCACTGCCTCATCAAGTGCTGTGACAAATCCCACCTGCACCTCAACAATTTTAGCTGTAAGTGCAACTTGGGTATTGCTTCACTACACACCAGCTACTGTAATTTTTTTTCTCATTTCTGCTTGCCTGTGCATGGCTCAGTCATATTTTATATTGTTATCCTGTCAGATTCATTTACAGCAGTAATGAAAAGAAACTACTTTCCCCATCTCTCTTTCTTCACTCCTGTGTGAAAACAATGTGCAAACATTGCAACAATTTCACACCGTAGACAGTGCTGTGTACAGTTGACTGTGTGTGAATGCATCTGTATGAAAGTTGAGCATAGTGCGTTGGAGAGTCAGTCCACGGCAGCCATTGATCATTGTTGCATGTGCAGGCCATTATGGAAATTGTTTATGGTTGACAGTCCAATTGGAATGCTCATGCTCAGTGAAACCCGACAATTTAAAGGTTGATCCATGAAGATATGCATTAGAGTACAAATTGAGGTGGATACAAATCTAAGAAATTCGGGATGGCAAAACTCAGATTTTGTGCAAGACACAAAGAACCTTTGGAAAGGTGAAAAAATGCAAGCATATTAGACTTTGATCGCCTAGTTTGCAAACTTTGCACATATTGCATGCATTGCATGTTTATGTGTGATTTTTGCATGTAAGTCCATAGTTGTGCTCTACAGATAATGTTTATTCCCAGTTAGTGCAGTTGAACCATGTGCATCTTCTCATCCGCCCACCATGTCATTTGACCCCGCTGCAACCCCTGCTCGATACAAACATTCACTTGTCTTTCTAGTACAATATGACAACCTGTCACGGTGAACCGTAGGTCGACTAGGATAGGCGCGACAGTAGACACTCGATAAGAGTGACGTCTAGAGTCGGATCGTAACCTCACAAATGTAAGGCTTCTTAAGACAAATCAGAGAGAGTGTCTCCGACTTGAATATCGATATCAGACACTTAAGATTGGGGGTCTTAAGCGAAGGATGTTCTGGGTAAAACCTAGTAGATTAAAGTGAGGACTATCTAAGTACAAGCCCTGCTTATATAGGTAAGGCGTGCTTTAGGGCCGGTACGTATACGTCATCAAGACGAGTCAGAGATAAGAGAAATGACGTCATCAAGATGAGTCAGAGATAAGAGATGAGTCAGCTAGCGACGGCACGTGGCGGTCGTGCTGTAATACAGATATAGACGACCGTTAGTCTAATGATGGCACATCCTGGTGCGGTCACGACGTAATACACATGAGTGTGGAAAAAGAGATAGGGGGTAACCACTATTGTAACATTACCCCTCATTTAGCGATGAAGTCGCCGACTTCACACATCCTGGTTAGCCCAGTAGATGGGATCCGCATCGTAGTTGGAATCAAGAAGGTCGTCTTGTTCTTCTGTGATGGTGGTAGGTTGCGCCAGGTGCTCAGCGTGAGCGATGGCGTCTTGCTCAATCTCCCAGCGAGCGAGTGCGTCGTAGAAACTGACGTCAGTCCATACCAAGGGAATAACCGCTTCTCCCTTCAACTCTTTACAAAAGACCGACAGATGACCCGGTGCATATTCTTTGCAGACTCTGCAGTAGTACGCTGGGCAGTTCTTATGACGGTGGCCAGTGACGTGGCAGTTACGACATACGACGTTATCGACCGGCAATGTTTTCACAACTGTGACGGATGAAGACTGGTTCGGGGGGGAAGGTGACCGTGACCGTTTGAGTGGTGCTTTAGTGGGGGAGACGGAGGCGGTTCGTTTGGCGGCGAGGCGGGAGGATCTTCGTTTGAGTGGGAGCCATTGTGTGGTGCGTATGATTGGGTCAGGAGAAGGAGAAGTTGGTACGTCAAGTACGGCAATAGGAGGGATAAGATCATCCTGATGCTCCACGGTAGCTGCGTCATGAGTTGGTGGAGGTACAGGGATAGTGACGTGGGGGGAAGGTGGTCGTGCGATAGGGTTGAGGGCGATCCGCTCAGTGACGATGTGGATGGCCTCTCTGATAGCGTCTCTTGTTTCTTCCGGTAAGAGTCGGATTGCGGTGTTGCGAATGCGGATGTGAAGATGACGGAAGATAGTCTGATGACGCTCATCATCAAGGAGTGTGGCGGTGCGATCAATGAGGCTGGCATCTCTGATAATCCTAATTATCAGACCGCTGGAAATCGCTCCTCTCTCTCCAAGGAGACGGTCTATCTCAATAGCGTATTGCTGTGAGGTGATGGTGGATTCGAACAGGGCACTGGTTTCGACTTGATCAATGACAGAGAAGTAGTCAGTGAGGGTGGAGTCCGAAGTAGGCGGTGATGTTTCAGAGGGAGAAGCGTGCTGTGCGAGGTTGGCGGCGGTGGCGGTCTGGTAATCTAGGAGCGTTAGGGGATGGGTGTTTCCTTCGGCGACAGTGTTCATGGCAGCAGTAAGTTCTTCGATACGAAGGATGCAAAGGCGTAGTCGTTCGATGTGGGACATTGTTAGGGAGTTTACAGTCCATGGGCCTTCTTATAGGCTACAAGGATGTCGGAAGCGTTCCTGAGATTCTCCTCAGGAACCCACTCGTTACTGGCGGATGAATACCCTTTCCACGATAAGAGATAGCGTCTTCGTTTACCCGTTCCTTTATGCGATAAGATCGCATCAATTTCATATTCCTCTTCATTATCGATGACATCAGGGGGTGGGTCGTGGTAGTTCGGTCCGTGTACTTCTGTCTCATGATAGGACGATAGTTCGGAAGCATGGAACGTGGGGTGAACTTTCCACTGAGGCGGTAGTCGGAGTGTGAATGTGATGGGAGACAGGACGGCGGTGATTGGGAATGGACCGTATCGTTTAGGAGCAAGCTTTCGTGAAGGTAACTGCGTGATCAGGTTCTTTCCGGATAACCATACTTTATCTCCAATCTTCCATGGGTGGTACTTCTGTCCGTGAGTTCTTTCTGCCATACGCTGCATTGCAAGAGCGTGGCAAGAGAGTGCTTCTTCCCTAGACTTCTGGAGTGAACGGAGTCTGTCTGCTGCTGCGGGGACCGTGGAATCGGATAAGGTATGTGGAAGGGCCCTTGGTTCGTATCCCATCATAAGGAAAAAAGGGGACGCATTGCGAGAGTCGTGTTTTCGATGATTGTGAACGAATTCTGCCATAGGGAGATGTTCTACCCAGTTTTCGGGATGATTCCGACAATATATTCGAAGATATGTTTCCAGTT